TGAGCAGAAAGCTGAAAAACTCACCAGTTGTCCCAATGGCCACATTACAAACGGGAGCAAACAGAAAGACTGCGTTGTAGCGAACGTTAAAAAAATAAATTCATGACGTCTTGGTATTTTTCTAACGACAGACCATTCGTGTGCTTTACTCCTTCTTTGCCATCTAATATAATAATATACATATATTATCAGGAGCGGTTTGTTAACTGGGCAAGACCGGCGGTGCCGGTCAGATTTTTGTCATCTGGACCGTTGACAAGAGATTTGTTGCTGATGATGATTTTCATTTAGTTTTAAGTAAATCCAAACAAACATTCAAAAAGCACCCTGCCGATTTGAAGGCGCTCAAATAGACAAATGGGGTTCACTGCTGTTTGGTCGAGCCTCATTACTTCACGTTTGTTTAATCGCACCGGCTCGTAACTTTAAATCGTCTACCGTCAAACCATCAAGTCGCGGAACTTTGTACGAGGACAAACCGAACACGGCGGGTTCAGCGATGACGTCAGTCCTCTGGGAAAATCCATCGGCTGGCTGCCCTTAGAGCCAATCGAATAGAGTATCCCTTGATTGCCAAATTGGCCTCTGTGTTGCTAAAAAAATTCAGAATGAGACTGTCTTGAGCAACACAGACACATGCATTATTTTATCAGCAGTACATGTATTTATCGTTCAGCCTTTCTTTAAATATCATCAGAACATTTATTGTCAGCATGGCACTAAGCTTTTTTGTTTATTGGATTTTTAGCCACCTATAGTTCCTGTTTGGTATTTATTCATCGCTTTCTCCCCACTAATAACTTACCTGGCCAATATGAGTCTAGCCGTCAAGTGAAGGTATAAGGGGAATTATAACGAGGAGCGATAGGCACACTGGGCCGAAAACAATAGGCCTACCCCTTCCCTTCCGTCCCCTTTTCCACTGTCACCGCAGCTAGACTAGAAACCAAGTTTTATAATTAGCATTTGACACACTTCCCCACTTTGTTACAATAGTGTTCTGAGAACTGAAAAGTATGATGAAGAACGTTTGATTACATAATGATGGAAAACTGTTGTGTGCTAACTTTGTCCAGCTTTGTATAGTATCTGATTGTAGAATCTGTATGGGACAACGTCACTGGGAAAGTATCAATTCAATTTTTGTCATCATACAGGACAGTTCTTATTACATATTTACTGGTCGAGTGCACGTCGATATTGCGTGTGTGTGCAGAAAGTATAAGTCTTTGGTTAAAGTACTGGAGGCCAGGACCAGCAGTTCATTGCTTCTCAATTTCAGTTTGTTTACTAGCATAGACTCTATAGTAGTGTTTCTCTTTCTGTGCCGATCAAGTTAGTTTTTATTAACCTCAGTAACTTCCATCATACATTATTCATAATATTCTTTCTTTACACTACCATATTTCAGCTCTTTCACATTATATTATAATGCTTACACTGGTGTGTGTGTGAGTGGTGGAGGGGGTGGTGATAACGAAAGTAGGGGTATAAAATGAGGAAAGAGAGAGAGAAAGAGAGAGAGAGAGAGAGAGAGAGAGAGAGAGAGAGAGAGAGAGAGAGAGA